CATCTATCTATCTATGCCCGGCTATCCCATCTATCCGTCTTTCTCTCTTCCCTGGATGCCTTACGGTTGCTGGTGGTGGTGGTGGTGGGCTCTCCTAACTAACCCGACCTTAGAATGTAGTTGTTGTAATTCATCACCTACAAATCAATCATTTTGACGAAGCAACTCACTAAAAACGAAAAAACGAAAGAACGAAAGAAAGAACCAGAGAACGAGGAGGGGGGAGAGTTAGGAGAACAACGAAATAAAAGGAATCGCACTAAGAACGACGAACCGTATAAAATGCAGTTACGAGAGTGCGAGCGGGATAACCGAACAGACAATAGATCAATGCTTCCAATATCAAAGAGTCGGCTTGACCTTTTGACGTACGAGAGACGTACCAGATTGCTGGATGGAAGATGGAAGCCTGTCTCTCGGCTCAACTAATTGTCTCCCAATGGATCACCCAATGGATTCTCTCTCTCTTTCTGACAGTCTTTCAGGCGCATGAAAAATGTTTTCATTTCGTAGATTTATGTAGATATGTCCAAGATAGATTCAAAAAAGGTCTGGCATACCTCCGAAGCGTAGGCTTACCTCCCTCCTGTTTCCCATCTTAAGAGCGCTGTCTTGCTGTGCTTCCACCTTGTGTAAATATACCTTGGATATAACCATAAAGGTGCGGTGTAGGTGTGTAGTTCTCTTCTCTTCTCTCTCCCTCTCTTTCTCTCTGTTGGCACTTAATTTGTTGTTTCTGTCTGCAGCATAGCATTTTTATATGTATTTTTTTTTGGTGTGAGATTACGCATTTTTGTTCTCGTTCTCGCCGCAGACCTTTTGCCTGATCTTTGGCTCGGCATTTGACGATCCTTTCAGCATTGGAATGCCTCTCTTGTCTTGTCTTGGCTTAGTTTACAATGCTCTTTTGATTAGGCCACGAAGGTGGGCTCCGCTCCGCTCCCCTGCCCATTACCGGCCCTCCCATAACCTATCCATTCCGTGTAGCTGTCGCTGTCGCTGTCCGTCGTACGTGATTGGTATTATTCATCACTTGTCCTTGGGTCCGTCGTATATCCTATCATTGGAATTTCTTTCTTTTCGGCTCTGGGCTGCTGCTTATCAGGCCAAGATTTGTTTAGGCAGAACCTTTTTCCCAATATTTAATTTAAATTTTAAGTATCTTCAGGTAAATTCTTGTTTATTTGGTATTTTTTGTTGTTAGGTAGTTCGATTCACCGATTTAGTTGCAACAGGAAGCCATAAAACATTTTCCATTCACTGGTTATATTTTTTACTTCTTGATTTCCTATTATTTGAAATTTTTTAATTGAATTTTATGAATTTATCTTTGGACGGCTTGCAGGACTTCCATCCAGAGAAAGTTTTCCTGGACAAGGCGGGTGTGAGACTAAAAGGGTTGAGGTCCCTGGGGTGTAGGGCTGTAGGGGTGGGGGTCAACAGCCAAAAACTAAAAACTTTTACGTTTTCCTCTTCCCAACAATGAATGCAGTCGATAAGTAGTGGCATAAGTACCATTTCATTCCACAAAAACACACACACAAACAAATATCTAGTAAAAGGGGAAAACAAAAATGAAATGATTCAGAATCGAAAGGAAAACCGACTATTTTGATAGCCTTGAAATGGTTTTATGGATATGTGGAACAATTTTGTGGGACGAGAAACGAAAATTTTAGTTGAAACTCATTCATGATCAACAGATTTATGCAAAAACTAGCCTTATGTTTATCTTAAGTTCCAGATAGTGGTATAGTGTTTGAAGGAACAATACTTTTGCTCATTGATATCTACAGATATCTATCAGTGAATTATCGTTGCTGGCGAATGGTAGGTGAATGGTAGTCCGGTGTAGTCCCATAGTTCCAGTAGACCCTCCATTAGTCAACCAAGACGTTCTCCTTCTTCTAGGAATATACCTTACCTCTCCTTTGAAGGGTATAATGAAATGTTCTCTCCCCTTTTCAACCCATTCGATGAGCGAGACTCAAAACCCGAAGACCGAAGCGACTCCAAGCCCAGCACAAGCCCAAAGCACAGCTGTCAAGGAAGAAGAACAAGTAGTAGAGCAGACGAAGAGGAAGAAGAAGAATCAGAAAAGGACAGCAGATGGTACAGGGGGGCGGGCAAGGGAAACGGTATGGCTGGGGTGGGGTGGGGTGCGGTGGCCCGGTCTCAAAATAGTCATTGTAATAAGAAAATTTTGATTTCATTTTTAGTATTTGTATAAAATTTAATAACGCCGCACAAGATGGCTGACGAAGTCGTCGACGTCGACTGAGAGCAGAGAAGAATGGCATTGTGAGAGAGCGGCGCAGCAGCGGCGAGTGGAGTGAGAGCGAAAGCGAGAGAGGGATGGGTTGGGTTGGGACCTGGTCTGGGCTGGGCTAGGCTGGGGGGTGGTGGTGGCAACTAAAACGCTTAAAACACACAATCTCGTTTCGGGTTCGGTTGGGATTGGGATTGGGATTTCGGGGTTACGCTTAAACTCTAAGTACATTTTAACTTAACTGCCGGCTTCTTTTTTTGCTTTGCTTTGCTGTTGTTGTTTGTGCTGCTGCTGCTGCTTCTTCTTCTCCTTTTGGGTTTTTGTTAGTTCGTCCCCCTGCGTCGCCCTGCCCTGCGCCTGCATAGCGAATTGTAAGGCGAGAAGGCAAACCCCGATGATGATGACTAGGATGATGATTATGGTCGGTTTGGTGGATCGTCGTCGGTGGCAGGGACCGAGTGGATGGCCTGGGTGGGGTGGCCATTGGTGGTGGTTTGAGATGCTCTAACTTGTGCTTTTCTGTTTCTGTTCGTGTGTGTGTGTGTGTGTGTGTGTGTGTGTGTGAGTGTGCGTTCGCTTGAGCGCAATTATAAATTTTTGGAATTGTTGTAATTTAGTTTTGTTTGTTTGCTAGTCTCTCCTCCGTTTTTCATACTCCTTCCTAGTCCCTTTCCTTTTTCTCTCTCTCCTTCTCTGGCTAGTAATACTGTACGTTTCGTCCATTGTTGTACCAGCTGTGACTGTAGCTGTGTGTGTGTGTGTGTGTCCTGCACTGCGAATGGAATAAGTATTTTGATACCCATCAAAACAGACAGATCGGAATGAACGAAAGCTTCTTCGTCCAAAACCCTGTAGATGTGCGTTTTCCCAGAGCCCAAGAGAGGCCCGCCCTCCGTCATAGCAGTCCATTGAGAGTACTATATTTTTTTGTTATCCTTTTCAAATCAAAATTTTTTTTAATTCCATCTCTTCCTCTTCCGTTCCCCCGTAATTACAATAGATTTTCGTATAATTACTGACTTGCAGTACTATTCCTTCATAAGCCGAGCCCGCTTCAACACCCGACATATGTACCCTTTCACACCCTATTCATAACGGGAATAAAAACTTTTCTCCTAACTGCGATTGTGACTGCTGCGATGTCGCTGCCGCTGCCTCTGCCGCTGCTTCAGTCGCAGCCGCCGCCTCTGTCGGTGCTGATTATTACGATAAAGCATAATGATTACATTTTTAGTAGTAGCTTTCCAAAGGAGCGAGCAGGATGGCAGAGAGAGCCTTATTATTGTTGTTCTGTAAATCGTAGAGTTTTTGAACTTGTTGTTGGGTTTTTGGATAGGAATTGAAATTGGGTTTGGGTTTTGCGCATACATAGGTTTGGGAGGGTTGCTCCTCTGTTCTGTTCTGTTCTGTTCTGTTCTGGCTGGCAAATGCGTCGTTTCAACAATTTCCAAATTCTCAGGGTTAGAGTTACTAGATGAAGGACCTGAAAGGGCAGATGGAGATGGTGAGAGAGAGAGAATGAGAGAGCTGGAGAGTTTTAAAGGCATTGGCTCTTGCACTTGATTAATTGCGATTTATGCGCCGCTGCTGCGGCTTATGTTCCATGCGATATGGAACTTTTGTGTGTAATTATGGATGGGTTATGGGTATGGGAGGGATTGGATTGGATTGGATGGGATTGAATGGGTTGCCCGGAGAATAATAAGTAACTGTAATAACGGTCGTTGACATGAGGGTTTCCTGCATTCGTTCGTTCGTTTGTTCGTTTGCTGCTTAATGTTTTTTTTTTCTTTTTTGGAAATGTGAGCAATAGGGTTTGAAGGACGATTTGTTGAAGGGTACTGATTATATAAGATATGCAATTAAGAAGAGAGGGGGGCACACTGCCGGGTACTCATGAGAAAAACTATTAGGCTGCAGCTGCAAATTTGTTGAATCCGTGTGGCTAGTAAGAAGAGAAGCAGTGCATCATGGGGAATTTACCAGAGGAAGCAGTGGCTGGGGGGACTGATGGGCCCACAAGGAAGCAGTGCATTCGTGTGTGGGTGGGAGATAATCGTGAATGAGGCATATTTTTGCCTTTTTGTTTTGCTTGGCTCATTTGGCAGCACACACACACGCACTCTCGTAAGCATACACCCACACAGCGACTACTGGAAAAGAGAGCGAACGAATGAAAGAGAGAGCCAGGCAGGAGAACCAAGCTGGCAATCAGCCCAAAGCCATGGAATGGAGCGCAAAATACGTTATATTACAATTGCGGCTATTGTCATTACTTTTGGCCCACATTCAAAGCGGTACCACACACACACACAGAGACGCTCAATCGCGCAAATAGAGAAGGAGAGCGAACGAAAGAGAAGCACAGCGAAAGAGCGAGCAGAGGCAGCCGCATAATTCATAGCCGAACTTCGGGTGTGCATTGAACGATGTGTTGCCGAACGATGCCGAGCGCTCTCATCGGCTTGCGCGTCGTTCTATGTGCGTGTGTGTGTGTGTGAACGCTCTCGTCGGCATTCGGTGGTGCCTCTGGGTTTGTATCTGTGTGTGAGTGTGTTTGTAATTGATTTTATTAGTTTTGGGTTTTTGTTGTATGTTTGCCGCTGTCGACGCTGACGGCGGCAGCGCTGATGAATTTAAAAAAATTTTGAATTGCCCGCCCTTAGTCATTGACTAAACGTGCAGCAGTGCGAACGCGGCAAAACATCCAGTGTCTCCGTGTCACCCGCTGAACGTTTCTCCGATCCGGCATTTTGTTCTTCCTAAATCGCAAAACATATCCCTGATATATCTACAATATCTGTCAGATATATAGAGAGTTCTCGGCACGCGACACATAAACAATTTTCGAGTGCTTATACAACAAACAAACAAATACGAAAAAAAGAAACGCTAGTTGCAACAATTCGAATATGTGCCACATTAACAAATAAAACACACAAATTTACACTTTCTTGGGATTAACAAACAAATCAGAGACAACCCAGAGACTTACTCCAGGATAAAAGGAGAGATTTCCGAACGCAGGATATACCCCACATACGCCAGCAAAATGGTAATTACACCGTACATCATTTCGCCATATATAACCGTATATGAATCAGCCAGAGCGGGCCAATTTATATTTTATTAGCCAAGTTTCTCGAGTGTGTCTGGGCGCTCCTTAGTCTTAGTCATTAGCCGCAAAGCAAGTGCCTTCCCCCGCTTGTGTCTTTGTATCTCTGCCGTTTGGTGATTTAGATACAGATAATGATTCGCATGCATATCTATATGGAGCCGACGACGTATTGTACATATAAATTCATCTTTAATCTCTTTGGCTGCATATTCATTTGTGCTCACTATCGTTGTGATCGCTAATTTCTATCATTTCCGGCGTTTTGACTATGCCCCACCATAAAAGGCGACTGCGATTTGTGATTCTCGATTCGCGATTCCAACAGAATCCATAACCATCCAGTAATACACTTCGAATGACGTCGCATTTCCGTCTCCAAAGCCCAAAGAATGCGAAATATTATGATATTTGAACTGGCGATCTGGCGCTATCGGCGAGCGGATGTGTGTGCTCCCTAACCCAATCGGAATCCTAAGTGCTCCCTGGAGATGGAACCAAATTTTTATTTAAATTTTTGTTTTGTTTTTTAAACTACTTCTTGAATAAGAACTCAATCTCGGATACAACTAAAGGCATTTAAAAGCAATCAATAACCAAGAGCACTCTATTTTGATCCTTTAAAAGCAGTTTTTCGAAGGAAAACATATACATATGTCCTCGAGTTTTGTAAAAGATCAGCAAAACAACGACATATATTTATGATCGAATTCAGAATAATCTTTCTCAGAGTTCAAAAAAGAACGGAACACAGTTCTAGTGCCATCAGATGGGTTGGTCTTTGTAAACCCGGTGGCTCTGCCTGGAATTCCTCAGAATGTGTCTTATATCATCCTCGCAGAAACCCTTCAACCTTTTTCTCTCTACTGTCAACAGTTTTTCACGCACACATTTTTGCAAATTTTTCTATATTTCATTTTCCTATTAATCGCCATAAATGCAAAATACCGACAGGCCAAAGAAATAATGAAGAACATTTTTGGTTTCGAGAAATATAGAAAATGCTGCCGCTGCTGCTGCTGCTGCTGCTGCTAGTGCTGTGAGATACATTTGTGCGCGAGTACGAATGCGAGTATCTGTGTGTGTATGTTTTGTGGATGGATGTTCAGCGGGATACAAATAAATTTTTGGCACATTAAGAACGCCGCCAAAATGCGAAGAGCCAGCCAAATATGAAATTATGATTGCGATTATGATTATGATTATGATGATGATGTTGTTATAATTAGAGAACAACGAAAGCGAAAAACGATTCGTAATTATTCAAAAATTGACTTTAAGCAGTCGTCGTCGCAGTCGCAGTCGCAGTCGTAGTCGTTCGTGGCTCCTGCTACTGAGGCAGCTGCCGTCGCCAGGTCGTACGGATCGCACAGATCGCACAGATCGCCCAGATCCATATAGATTTTAGTTATGGTCTTAGTTTCGAGTGTGTGCGCTCTTCCATTGCAGCTATTTTAAGCACACACTCGCGCGCACACACATGGACACATGAATTACACTTCCAAGTGCTTAATCATGGCCCGAACCGAGCGTCGAAACTTTTACACAAATCATATTCCACCCCACCCCGCTCCCAATATATATCCATTCCCCCTGACCTCCTCCCCGTTCCGAATACTCCCCATTCGGGGCACACGCCCGTTCTTGCAACTGTTCTTTCGGAAATTTTCTTTTGGTTTTTGCGTTTTCCATTGAAAAAACCCAAATCGAGAATATGTGAGCGATATGTTTCCACTCAAAATGTTCGGTTCCGTTCGAAGGGGGGACTGGCCACATTTGCTTTATTAATCGACCCACACTCACACACTCACACACACACATACTTAGTCGATTCATAGCCGATAATCGTGGAATACATTATTATTATATTGGAGGAGAACAATCATAAATGGCCAAAAAGTGTCTGTAATGAGCATTGCCGATACGAAATGACTTGCTTACATATTTCAGGCATGTTTCTCGAGGAAATTGCCAAATTAAAGCGATTCCAAATATAATGAATGTCTGGCCACAGAGACAGGGAATACCGTATATATTGTGGGATGTGCAACAGCTGATTGGAGAGATCTGCTTAAGGTTGCAATGGATGATTCCTCTGTTAAAGTATTTACTGCATAGCTGCTCAAGTTCGAATCGAAACTCTGCCATCAACAGGGTCGAACCTTTAGCCATTTGTAGTTCCATCGATGGAACTTGACATTCAATTGGCTTAATCCTGACAGGGGCAGGGGCTGCGGCGGGGGCCTTCCTTCCCATAAACTTGTGAAAATATTCAAGCCACATGAGCGCTCTTAGAGATTTCCCCCTCCCACCCTTTGGTGGCTGTCCATTGAAATGGCAATTATTTGAATTTATTTTTAATGTTCCGATAGATACATGTGTGTGTGTTGGGTACTCATCTCTCCTATCTTGCCCCACCCCCCACTATATGTATCTTTAATTTGTACCATCTGGAAGGGGATTTGATCTGTTTCCATATGTGTGTCGTGCGGTTGACTACTTAATTTCAGAGTGCCATAAAAATTACGATTTCGAATTCAAATTGAAAGGTCTCTCAGCCATGCCCATTTCCATGTACTCACTCCGCCTCAGCACCCACCCGCCTTTCCGCTCCTCCAAAAACAGTCGAAACGCATTTGGTGTTGAAAATAAGTTGGATTATTTATCGATTCGAATGCTTATAAATATTTAAGAAGCTTCAAATGAAATCAACAATTAGTTTATTTATTGACACTTGATATCAGAGCAGGGGGAGGGGTCTCTATCTCCCTTAAAGTGCCCCCATGATGAAAGACAAAACGAGTACGAATACGAGAGTATTATTGAGATTTGTTGTCCCCCTCCCCCTCCTCCTCTGCCCCGCCCTGGCATCTCCAGATGATGTCGAATGCAAATTCGTTCCATCACTCAAAACTCGCATAGTTTCCCCCACCCCCCCTTTGGGGGAAAATTAATGCAAGTGCTAGGAAAAGTGTGGCCGCCACAAACAATGCTTGTCCATCTGTCCATCAGTCAGTCAGTCAGTCAGTCAGCCAGTCAGTGTTTCCTTCAAGCCGGGCATCAGCCACAGCCGGTTCAGGTTGAGTCACCACCGTATGTGGCACGTCTTTCATCTATTGGCATCCTTGACGCGAACCCTAGAGATGACAGCGTGAGTCACGCATGTGCAAACTTTCTTAATTCCCAGAATAACTGGAAATTCGAATCGAAAATGTTCCGAATGTAGCCTGATATCCTCGCGGTTGTTTATCGCATCAACACTCTGATTGAATTTGATTGAATTTTGCTGGTAAAATGAACAACTTATTGTAAGAGACTTAAAGTACATTGAAAGCCATTCATCCTTTGTCTGGCAGGGGCCCACATGCGGCCATCGCCAGAACACACACACACTCACGCAGGGCGCGCACTCATCGAGGATGTGTGCGTGTGCGTGTGTGTTCCAGAGAGAGTCTTTCGACTCTTAATCCCCTCCCCTTCAGTCGGGCCTGGGGTGGGGGGGCTGACTGACTGACAATCAATCAATGCACGTGTTTCATATTTTTGATATTTGCCGCTTGACGAGAATTTTTTGGACAAATCAGTCGGCCCAGGGAGCTTAGTTGTTGCCACATCGCAAGAGGGTTAGGGGGAGGGGGAGGGGGAGGGGGGGGGGGGAGGGAAGCCAGGCCATACAAGTATATTGTAGATATATCCAGTCTCTGTCTTTGTGGCAGCGTCACCCGAAAGTCGTTCAATTAAAGACGATTTAAATTTATAGAAGATACTCTCTCTCTCACTCTCGCCCATCGGCACAGATACAGGCCATGCACAGATGTACATATGCACGAACAAAGTCGAATGTCTTAATTAATTTTAATTATTTTCAATGGGCGACTATGAAATACAAGGCACAAACCGGCAACAGGCATTCCCCCGTTCCAACTAAGGCGATAAGAGCAGCAATTAAGTAACGAATTAATAGCAATCGACTTGTAAATAAATACTTATGATGGTACCCACAGGTCCCCCTGTCGCACCACCCCCCACCCAACCCTCATGACAATTGGTTGCGCCGCTTAACCCGCTCTCCCGCTCTCCCAACCCCCCCAAAACCCAACCGAATCGCCCTCTTTTTCTGGCCAATTTTCAGGGTGTAATGTCGGCTCTGTTCTTGCATTTTCCAAACGATTGTGCCTATAAGTATTAGGAGCATTTTCCGTATGCCCAAAATGCGGGTGCCGTGGCCCAAGGGGCAGGCCGTTAATTTATTTGCCTGCAGCATGCAAACCAATTGACAATCAAACGCAATTAGTCACAATAATCGTCGTAATCGTGAAATGGAAACGCATTTTCAGCTTATTTCAAGAGAGTTTCAAGAACTCGATACGTGATGCGAGCTGCTGGATTGCCTTGAAATGTTGCTTCCTTTTGTTCATGAATAATGCGATCATGTGATCGCCCAAGACACACGAGATAAATCATCATCTTCGCAGGTAGCTCTCTGGGATGACGCCCCCAACCCAAAAGTTGTCGTCGCCAGCGATAGGGAGGAGAAGAGATGAATTCTCTTCGGGCAAATCTCAGAATGTTTTCACTCAACTAGAATCAATTAATCATATATATCTTTCTAAGGCGACAGGAGAGATGATCTCTCTCTCTCTCTCTCTCCTTGAGTAAATTTGAACTGGTTTAAGGAACTAAAATCGAATCTTAAAGATAATCACTTGATGCAAATTTCAACCCCAAATCCATTCGGATCCAACCGAAAAGCCATTCGCATATGCCAGGAATTTGGTCTTGGCCTACTTTACCGACTGGCTGGCTGGTTTGCTTTTCAAAATTAATAGGAATTCTTTCCTTAAACCTAGATTAGCAAAATTTGATAAGTATTCGTATGGAATATGGTTAGGGGTTTGGATTGTGTTGCGGGGCAGATCCATTCAGCAAAAAAAAAAGAC